TTTTAAATACACATTAATCAACTTTTATCAAAATTTACTAAAAATATAACATTAGTCAAATCAAACAAGGGTTGGTCATTCTAGATGACTAAATTGATTATTATTAATTTTTTATTTAAGAATTTTCTATGAAAATTTTGAATATGTACGGTGCTGTTGAATATATGGCCATCACCATTTTACTTTTGTGTACTTAATTGTACTTTATTTATTAGAGTAATAATTAAATAATTAATTAAGATTAGACTAATAATGCTCCTTAAATCTCTTTTAAAATTTTCTCAGAATACAGGTTTTTGGCCAAATTATTGCATTAATAAGTTGTATTATCCTCGAGAAATTCCAAAATAAATATCATAACAAAATTAAACGACGCGTTTTTTTTTTCGTTTAACACTTCTATGGAGTGGTGCGACTACGTGGAAGGTCCACTGCGTTATGCATATCAATTAAACAATTTTCATCCGTTTGAGAGATGTTAAGTGGCGCAGAATGGTAAAATTGTAACAAAAATTGAAGTTCAATTATTCAATTGAAAGTAAATTGAAGTGATTTCAGATGAAATTCACCCTATTTAACGAGTACTGCCGAACAAGATATGATATACATCTCTTTCGTTGAAATGTTATACCACTATAGCAGCACTTCAAATTTAAAAAATACAATAGATTAAGAATTTATAAATCAAAATTAATATGGCTTTTTGTAAGTATTCGGGATCTTTTGCGTGTGAGATTCCACCTCCAAAAAAAAACTAAGTGTCCAAAGAGTAGAGTCCTTTCTTAGTTGATCACTTCCCAAAGTTAGCCTGTAACTTGTGTAGTTGATATTCCGTGTAAAATCGTTTGTTTGAGCTTTATTTACGAAATCCAAAGAAGAATTTTATATTATTGGGATGGCAATATTTGGCGGTATCAACTTTTCTTTTGTATTTTATTTAATAATTTTGTGCTCTGACTTGTCGAACAATTATTACGTGATTCATTATTAAAGTAAAAACATTCTCATATTTTACACAGAGTTGCTTACTCAACTAGAAACATCTTTAATTATTTTTCAAGTTACGGGTTAAGTTCATTATTTTAGAGTTGATTACACGGAATTCTGATCCTTAACACGTGATTAATTTGTGACAATGTAATCTCAAAAGTTTTTAATTTTACCATTTATGAATTGTTTCATTATATCATCTTTTATAAGGATTACTCCGATGGGAGATATTTTTCTCGCCCAAAATTTGAGGTGACACGTGTTGCAAATAGTAACAATTTATACAAAATCATAAATTTCACCTTCTTGACAAGGGTCCGACCGCCCTTGGTATGACCTTGTGGTCGAGTACGATCTTCGTTTGGGAGTTGTGATCGATCAAGGTCCGACTCTGGTAAAAAAAATATGCATTGACATCTATGACGATCAAGATTTATTGGACCTCATTCACTCAGTTAAGGTCGAAATATTATTCTCGACCTTCGTGGGCGAATAAGAATAAGTCCATGCATTGAAAGTTCAAAGTCCAAGCGTGGTGTAAAATCGTACGGAACCATAATTGAATGCACCTTGCTGGGTCATCCATTCGAAGCATACGGTTGTACTTTCAATGAATGGACGGAAATACCCCCAACGGCATTATAGTAAATAGCTGTTGACGAATTAGTGGGCCACAACGCAACGCAATAAGTATTAGAATTGGTTGGAGCCGGCATCAGTCTCCACCTCCCTCATTAAACTCTCCTTTACTCAAATTATCACTCAAGTTTTAGGGAAATTTTAAACTTATCGTTTAATTATTTTTGTGACAATTTTAGTCACTAAAGTTAAATCAAGTAAAATAATTGGTCGTGAGATGGATGCTCTCAAAAATCTGGCTCCTTCATCCTTGATATTGACTAAAAATCGTGTCCATGTTTAAGGATGCAACGAGATTGGGTAAAATCAAAATATGGCACATCAAACAAGTCAAAACCAAGGAAAAGAAAATTGTTTTCCAAGTTTCAAGGCAAAGATGGCCAATCAAACATGGCCTAAGTGTCCAAAGAGTAGAGTCCTTTCTGAGTTGATCACTTCCCAAAGTTAGCCTGTAACTTGTGTAGTTGATATTCCGTGTAAAATCGTTTGTTTGAGCTTTATTTACGAAATCCAAAGAATAATTTTATATTATTGGGATGGCAATATTTGGCGGTATCAACTTTTCTTTTGTATTTTATTTAATAATTTTGTGCTCTGACTTGCCCAACAATTATTACGTGATTCATTATTAAAGTAAAAACATTCTCGTATTTTATACAGAGTTGCTTACTCAACTAGAAACATCTTTAATTATTTTTCAAGTTAGGGGTTAAGTTTATTATTTTAGAGTTGATTACACGGAATTCTGATCCTTAACACGTGATTAATTTGTGACAACGTAATCTCAAAAGTTTTTAATTTTACCATTTATGAATTGTTTCATTATATCATCTTTTATAAGGATTACTCGGGTTGAAGATATTTTTCTCGCCTAAAATTTGAGGTGACACGTGTTGCAAATAGTAACAAGTTATACAAAATCATAAATTCTACCTTTCTTGACAAGGGTCCGACCACCCTTGGTACGACCTTGTGGTCGAGTACGATCTTCGTTTGAGAGTGGTTGTGATCGATCAAGGTCCGACTCTGGTAAAAAAAAATATGCATTGACATCTATGACGATCAAGATTTATTGGACCTCATTCACTCAGTTAAGGTCGAAATATTATTCTCGACCTTGGTGGGCGAATAAGAATAAGTCCATGCATCAAAAGTTCAAAGTCCAAGCGTGGTGTGAAATCGTACGGAACCATAATTGAATGCACCTTGCTGGGTCATCCATTCGAAGCATACGGTTGTACTTTCAATAAATGGACGGAAATACCCCCAACGGCATTATAGTAAATAGGTGTTGACGAATTAGTGGGCCACAACGCAACGCACTAAGTATTCGAATTGGTTGGAGCCGGCATCAGTCTCCACCTCCCTCATTAAACTCTCCTTTACTCAAATTATCACTCAAGTTTGAGGGAAATTTTAAACTTATCGTTTAATTATTTTTGTGACAATTTTAGTCACTAAAGTTAAATCACGTAAAATAATTGGTCGTAAGATGGATGCTTCTAAAAAATTTATAATTAATTAATTGTAATTATACTTATGAAATCTTGATATCGACTAAAAACCGTGTCCATGTTTAAGGATGCAACGAGATTGGGTAAAATCAAGACTGAAAATTCTATCCCACTTAGTGATAAGATTCTAGTCATGGACCATTTTCAAAACCTAGGTATCTTGCCATCCCTTTACATGTTGAGAAACTAAGCCCCCGTTTGGCACCCATTAATTTCTCATTCTCATTCCCATTCTCATTCTCATTCTTCATTTCAACCACACATTTTTCAAATAAAATAATATTACACACAAATCAAAAACTTTTCATCACTTTTCCATCACACATTCTCACATCAATCACTATTCCAAAATTTCTATTCTCCTCAAAATTAGATTCAAACACACCCTAAATATCTTTAAAACAAAATGTGATTTTTAAGATAAAAGTCATCTACAAGAAATTCAAACAGCTCCCTTTCACCTTAACCTTATATTTCATCGTGCAAAAAGGTTGCAACGAAGCTAAAAGAGGACCTCATTTGGAATGGATCGATTGCTCTACGTGAAGGTTTAAGTTTAACATCTACCACAAATGGTCATATTAATGTGAAAATTTTCTTGAAGTTAAGGGACCATTAGTGAAATTAACACATAAGGTATCAATTGGGCCGTTCTTATCAGGGTAACGTAGGTACTATGCGCACTGAATAAGTACGGCCTTACCTAAGCACTTTCATTTCCAAATGTAGGTGGTGGTGGGACCTCCGCTGTCTAGAATAATTAATTTGTGGACCACAAACAATTTTTTTAATAATTAATTTAGGTTTTTGTCTTTGTTCAAAGTGTTCGTACTTTCCGCACAAGAATTTATTGTGTGATATGTGTCCTTCCTCAGATAACTTCTCCACCGAATAAATTTGGCATACTTTCATTTTTCCAGTAATGCCCTCGTCAACTACTATTATTTACAACTATCCTTTTATGTCCTTCGCCGTACGTCCGCTGTCAATGCTCCTTTTTCCAAATTAAATACTTGGAAAATAGGTACCTAGATATCTTTTATTTTTGTATAATCTATTTCATTTTTTGAAAATTGAAATTTTAATAAATTTTGATAAAATTTGTGAATATCATAAATTATATTGTTAAAATTAATTATTGACTTTGATTTAATTTTTTATAATTTTTTAGTTGAACCAAACAGGAACTTAGCTCATTGTTCGGTAAAAATCAATTTTCTTCTATAGATTTTAATAATAATAAAAAGATGAAATGCGTAGTTGAAAATTTGATAAAATTATGAATCTTAATAAATATAAAAAGACACCACAATACATAGAATTCATTTGCAGAGAAACTTTTTGAATTTATAATATTTATAATTAATTAATTGTAATTATACTTATGAAATCTTAAGCTTGAAGTAATAATATATTTATACTTTTGTAAACTATTCAATTTTATCCTAAATTAGTTGTGAAACATATTATTTTGTAATTAACATGAAAAATATTATCAATGCCATTAATCCAACAAATTGAAGTTTGTACACAATTTGTTGACCTGCAATATTTTGGTTGATAAGGGGCAATTATGTCCTTATAAAAGTAGCTGATATCATCCACGATGGTTGTGGAATCATTCTAAAAAGGACAATATTGTTATTTCAAACGTACATTCTTCTTCGTCAAACAATACTCTCTCCCCAGTTCACATTTATCAACTGCTCAAATCCATGCCACTCTTTTCTGTTAACGGTTAATCATCCAACATATATATATGTATGTATGCACATATACAGTATTCATCATCTTATAAGTTACACACAAATTATTGTTATTGAGCTTTTCTCATTAAATTTTTGAATCTTTTTAGCAATGAAGAAGCAAAAATCAATACCTGAACCCAACTTCAATCGGTTTGATCTTCTCTCTGATGAGATAGTTTTCTTAATTCTTGATTCTCTCGATGACCCACTTGATAAAAAATCAGTTTCTCTTGTTTGTAAATCATTATATGCTATTGAATCTCGCCATAGGAAGATCTTGAAACCCCTTCGTTCAGAACACATGAAGAAAAATTTGATTCGATACCCTTTTATTTCACATCTCGATCTTTCATTATGCCCGGTAATTACAGACAGTTCTCTAGGTGTAATATCAGGGTATTGTAAAGAAACGTTGAGGTCAATTAATCTTTCAAGGCCCAGGTTTTTTTCCCATGTTGGATTATCAAATTTGTTAGTGAATTGTAGGAATTTGGTAGAAATTGATTTGTCAAACGCCACGAATTTGAAGGATTTGGCCGCGGCCTCTATAGCCGAGGCGAAGAACTTGGAGAAATTGTGGTTGGTTAGGTGCAAATCTATCACTGATATAGGATTAGGGTGTATTGCTGTGGGTTGTAGGAAGCTGAAATTGCTTAGCTTGAAATGGTGTTTTGGTGTTGGTGATTTGGGAGTGGGATTAATTGCTGTCAAGTGTAAGGAAATTCGCAGTTTGGATCTATCGTATTTGCCGGTAATACAGCTGTTCTTTGACATTAAAATTATTGATTCAGGATTATTTCTTTGATTTTGATGTTTCTTCATTTAATTCAGAATTGGTATGGGTCTTGCAGTGTAGTATATTGATTAGTTTATGATAATTTTAAGGATATATGTTCTAGTTGATCCTTTATGTTTTCTCCCTTCTGTGGTTTAATTGTTGTTTCTTCTTGACCGACTTACGTTTTTTCCTGTATTTTGATGACTTTTGTTATGTTTGTTACCCTTGTTTGTTTCTAGCTAAATGTAATTAATGGTTGTAGGTTTATGAGATTCATCTATGATTATTAGTTTCACCATGTTAGTTTTTTGAAGCTATATTCTCTGTGTTTCTTGGATTTACAACTGATAGTTATGAGATTGCGTTTTAAGATTAGATATTGCCTGTTTAAGAACCTCTAAGTCACTTTTATTTTGTACTATATGCAATTTGTCAAATTATCAACGTTGCTTAATGGAAAATTTTTAGGTGTTATGAACATACGTATGGCTTACTCTTATTTTATTTTTATTGTTTGCGTCTTTGTATGCAGTGGAATGGTTCGTCACTCTATACATATGTATCATACGAATGCAAAAGACGTGTTCTATTCTCTGTCTTTCCATAGTCATCTGTGTCATCCTCCAACAAAAACACGTGTATCGGTGTATATGACACCTTCCTTTAAGTTAAAGTAGATCAAAGTTTATAAACTCTGTGTTTTCAGATTTGATGTTCTATTTTTTTTAATACAACTTATAAAACATCAAATTATTATGGTTTCATCATTCTTCACTAAGCTCATGCTTAAGTTTTGTTGTGATTTCTTCTCTGTTTTTCAAAGAAAGTATTTCTCTAAGACCAACTAAACAGATATTTAAGCAATTAAATTAATAATGATTTGTGTTTTGAGATAAAGACAATGACTGATATAGCTTTGCGAAAGCATCATGTGATTGAATACTCTTGTTTTACTGTGTTTAATACATCTGAGCTTGATAATATCTTTGATTCTTTTATTTTCCTTTGTGTAGATCACAAACAAATGCTTATTTCAAGTCCTAGAGCTGCAACACCTCGAAGATTTGATTCTAGAAGGATGTTTTGGTATTGACGATGACAGCCTTACAGCACTTAAACAAGGATGCACATCGTTGGAGGTACTCATTATGGAAACATCTAAAAGATCTGTAGATTTATTTCCTATCCACGTTCTAGTCCAAGTTTAATTCACTTCCAAAGGATAAGAAGAATAATGTTCATTTTGAATTTTCATACCTCAGGAGGTGTTAATCTCTCATGTTCATATCCTCTCAACGCCTGTTTATATGATTGTATTGTTAACTAACAAACAACTTATTGTCTCTCTGACAGACACTTGATATGTCGAGATGTCAGAATGTCAGCCACATCGGTTTGTCTTCTCTAACTAGTGCTGCTGGATGTTTGCGGCAACTTAGCTTATCTTATGGTTCTCAGGTGAGTCTTCGGACATTTTTACCCCTTCTTCTGGCCTAACAAGTTTTTATTTTAGCTCATTGTCTGCTGTTTTTCAGGTGGATCTTGCTCTTGCTGATAGTTTGCAAAAACTGTCCATGCTTCAATTCATAAAATTAGATGGTTGCCAGGTTACGTCTTCAGGACTTAAAGCCATTGGAATCTGTTGTGTATCACTCACGGAACTGAGCTTAAGTAAATGCTCGGGAGTGACAGACGAAGGACTCTCCTCTCTTGTAACGAAATGTGTAGACTTGAGGAAACTAGATGTCACCTGCTGCCGCACAATAACTTATGCTTCTGTTGCCCACATAACGAATTCTTGTACCTCCCTCACTTCCCTCAGAATGGAATCTTGCACTATGGTTTCGGCCGAAGCATTCATTTTGATAGGACAGCGGTGCCAGTTTCTCGAGGAGCTTGACCTTACGGAGAACAATATTGACGATGAAGGTAACTTCATCACCTAACGAAGTGTACTGTATTGTAAAGAAGTCCGACATGAATTTTTCGATATTTACGTGCTTTCTTTATTTGCATGCTTTGCAGGCCTGAAATCCATCTCGAGGTGCTCCCAACTTGCAAGCTTAAAGTTGGGAATTTGCCCAAACATAACTGACAAGGGGCTTATCCATATTGGCAATTGCTGTTCAAAACTTATAGAACTAGATTTGTACAGGTTTGTACGTTTTCCTATGTGTTGTTACAAAGTTTGCAATACAATTGCATTGAGAATCGAACATGTGAATATTGATGACTTTGTTACTCTTGATGCCCGATTGTTGACCTAGATAAGCAACTTATTTTTTCATATTTTCATATTTCTTGCTTTCAATACATAGTTGGAGAAGACAGTAGTTAACCAATCAGAGATCGTTTGGCAAAGCTTTAACTTTTTTGAAAGCTGGTGAAACAAACTTTTTATCAACAAATTTCTTAGGACCCACAAATTACTATCCATTTATTATCCACACATGCCATTGGAATACCAAACAAGCATAATAATTTCTTTCTTGTCTAATTACGAGTTTGTGCTCATTTCAGATCTGCTGAAATTACTGATTCTAGTATCTTGGCAATCGCTCGTGGCTGCACGCTCATTGAAACTATCAACATAGCCTATTGTAAAAATATTACCGATCGATCATTGGTGTCATTGTCAAAGTGTTCAAAGTTGAATACTCTAGAAAGCAGAGGATGTCCTCTTATTACATCTTTCGGTTTAGCAGCTATTGCTATGGGATGCAAGCAACTCACAAAATTAGACATAAAAAAGTGTCAAAATATTGATGATACCGGAATGGTTCCTCTTGCTTACTTTTCTCAAAACCTCAGACAGGTTTTTACTTTAGTCAATTCCCTTCTCGATTAAACATGATTGGCTGCCACAAAATATTATGTAGTAACTATTGTTTGTCCCCATACTTTGCAGATAAATTTGTCGTATACCTCCGTTACAGATGTAGGCCTATTGTCCCTGGCAAATATAAGATGTCTACAGAGTATGACTGTTCTCCACCTCGAGTGTTTGACTCCCAGTGGACTAGCAGCCGCACTATTAGCATGTGGAGGACTAACGAAAGTGAAGCTTCCATTATCATTCAAATCATTGTTGCCACCACCTATTACCGAACATTTGGAATATCGCGGCTGTGTTTTCCAATGGAGAGACAAAGCATTCCAGGTATCTTTCAAAACACTCGATGGTTCAAGTCACATTTCGATTGTTTATCCCATGGTTAAAAATTCTGAACGAGGATAATAACATAATTTGGACGTCCAAGAAGCAAACACTAATATGAGTGTAAAACAAAATAATGGAACTTAATATTACCTTTTTGTGATCGACAGACTGACTATGATCCCAAATCTTGGAAACTACAGTTAACCGAGGAGGAATGAAGCAGTTTTGAACTTCGTAATATTATGGATTTGCTTGTCTATGGACTTGTGTTATGATGTACTAATTATCTCTTAAAAGAGGTAGTACTACTCAAGAGTCGGAAACTTGGGATTGAGTTCCTGTACTAACTCTCGAGGGTTAGGCACTCGGGAACAAGTTCATGTATTACATTGACAGTGTAACTCGTAAGGAGGTATGTAAGCTGAGAGTTTGAGAGGCTGCTTGTTGTACAATGGCCTTCGTTGAGTTTATTATTCGAGTTTTTGTACACAGAAGAATTTACGTATTTACAAATACGGTTTTCCCAAGCTATCTTTGAAGTTTGAATACTGTAGTCACTGAGATTTCTTTCATTATATTGGTCTTTCCTTTCCATGAAGATTGCCGTTTCTTATGTTTTTGCAACATTAAGAGATAATCTCAAGTTAAATTACAAATTCTTACCCTGTTCTTGATCGATGCGTTAAGGATTATGGTAATCCTATTTATTGCAGCTTTTGTTGCCTTTGCTATGAGAACTATTGCTTTTTATTTACACGGTTCTCCACAACCATCCACTATAATAGTGTTTGTTGATAGCAAAGGATAGAACACGACTGTGGTTAAACTACTACTACTGCACATAAAATTAGGTCGTAGCTTAATTATATTAAAAACATGTGTTGTTGTTAAGGGATATATATTTCCCACATCAGACCAATTAATAAATATCTTGAGCTACTCCTCTTAACAAGGTTGACATTTTAAGATAGAACCAAAATCTTAACATGGTATCAGAGCACATTATGCTCCAACGAGCGATCCCGTTAAGACTCTAAAATGAGCATGTGGATTTCAAAATTGGTCTGCTCAAATGAACCACTATCTTACGGGAGCGTGTTAAGGGATATATATCCCACATCGATAAATGATGTTGATACAGACCAATTAATAAATATCTTGGATTACTCCTCTTAACAAGTTTGACTTTTTAATATGGAACCCCAAATCTTAACAGTTGTTACCTCAAATTTTGTTTATTCTCGCAATAATATGGGATGATCTAATTGTAGAAACTAATGAAAAAAAAGGTGGGATACTTTCAATTACGCATGGATTGTGGCCTAAGCATAGTGAAAAGGTCAAAGAAAACGACATTAAAACATTTTTTGTACGAGAACTCTAAGGCTGTTTCCTAGAAAGGCTCAAAATGATCAAAATAATTGAATATTATACATCGAAGACTCCATGACATCAAATTAACCTTTCAGGTCTACACACACAAATATATAACGCCAATTTGGTCATATGAAATAATTTGCTTTTTGGCTTTTTCATTTTTCTTCGCAACTTCAAAGATTTTGCTTTTGTAACGGACATCATAGCTTTTGTTTGAGATGGATTATTTGTTACTTTTAGGAATATGGATTATTTGTTACTTTTAGGAAAAATGGTAGTGAGAAAGTACAAAATGTATGATTAAAATTAAAGTTTGACTTTGACTACATAATAAAAATAATTTTTAAAGCTTGTTTGAGCCTCATTTTTAGCCAAAAATGCAAGGATATTTTTACATGTACAATAAATTTATATAATAGATTACATAATGTCAAATGACATTTTATCATTGGTTAATTTAAAACACGATCAACTTTTTTATCTAATCTTTTTCCTCCACGTCATATTCGGTAATCGTTTGTTTATATTTCTTATGTACAAGTAGCAAAATCCAAAATATATTTTAAAATAGTGATTTGATGGAAAATATATGGTTAAAAAATAAGAAAAAAATTGAATTTACGTATAATATTATTTTATTTAAAAATATGTGGTTGAAAATAATTAAAAATAATGGGGGAACAAATAAAGGCTCAAGTTACCAATAAGATTAGCAGAAAACACGCGTAAATCTAAGGAAATAAATTGTTTTGGCAATGAATCTAAAATTTCACGTTGGGTAAAATAAATAGAAAAACATGCACTCTTTTGTTAATCATCTTTCTTTGTCATTATTTGTTTTACTCTAGCGTATATTCAAAAGCGGTGTTGAGAAAAATACCAAAAGGTTTTGCATTAAACCTAAAAGTCATAGTACTCAATTTTATTTGTTATGAAACAAATTAGATACTAAAATTGCTCTGATATCAATTGTTATGAATTTGGATCGAGTGATAATAACGATAATAAAATAAATAACAAGATTTATGTGGAAACCCAATATGAGAAAAAATCACGAACAGATGAGGAGAAATCCATTATAATTAATAACAATTGTGTTTACAAGATCTCAATGCACTCAATTGAAATCTAAAACTCTCTAAATGTTGTATGAATCTCTCTTTGTTGTGTGTGTGTATAAACCAGAGAACAAGTTGTAGAAAAATAGGAGTTCAAAATCGTGTCAAAAAACAAAAAAAGAGTCTGGGCCAAATAAGCTTGTCGCTCGAGCAAGGCAAACGATAGGCGATCGACTAAGTCTCGGGTTGTTTTTTACTGAACTCGCTCGAGCACCTAGCTAGCACCAAACTAACGAAAATGTGGTAACTTTTTCCTTCTACTCATAATTTTGATCTCTTCAAGACCACTCCAATACCCACTAGAATTTGAGTCAAATCACAACAAATCTCCACCTTGAAACAAATTCCAACACAAGGAATTTCAAGTCACGACTCCATCAATAAATACAACTCCTCATCTTCCAAACAAGCCGTAATTGACTCAATAAATAACAAACACCCACTAAATTCAAGTAATGTTAAGAAGCAATTTTGTCATCATATCAGTAGGATTATCCTTGGTATCAACATTGCTCACTACAATATCACCACGAGCAATCACAAATGATATCCACATCAATGTGCTTAGTCCTTTCGTGAAATATCTGATCCTTAGTAAAGAAAATTGCACTCTGACTATCACAGAATACTGTAGACATCTGCAAGTCTTCACTTAATTCACTAATCAATCTTCTCAACCACATAGCCTCCTTACATGTCTCTGTAATGACCATGTATTCTACTTCTGTTGTAGACAAAGCTATTATATTTTATAAAGTAGTTTTCCAACTGATAGCACGGCATCCAAGGATAAACACATACCTTGAAAGTGATCTCATCTTATCAAGATCTCTTACATAATCTGAATCCACATACCCAATGACTCCATCTGAATTTCTACCAGAATGTAAACAAGCATTAGAAGAGCCCATCAAGTATTTGAAGATCCACTGCATTGCTTTCCAATGTTACTTGTCAGGATTTGTCATGTATCTACTAACTGCACTAACTTCGTGTGCTATATCAGGTCTTGTACAAACCATAGCATACATAAGTTAGATGATAATTTAAAATGAGCAGCCAAGGGAGTACTGACAGCCTTCGTATTCACCATATTGAATTTTTCCAGCAACTTCTCAATTTACCATTTCTTACTCAAATACAATCTGTCAGTCTTTCTATCCCTCAAGATTTCTAAACCAAGAATCTTCTTTGCTACACCCAAACCAACCTTCATATCAAACTCCTTGTTGAGTTGAAATTTTACTTTTCTAACTTCTACTGAGCATATCATCAACATATAATAACAAATATGTAGTCGGTCCACTATCTTCCTTTCTGAAGTACATACAATTATCATAATTACATCTGAAGAAATCATGAGCAGTCACGAATTAATCAAACCTCTTATACCACTGCTTCGGTGACTGCTTTAGTCCATACAAAGACTTCTTCAACAAGCACACACGATCTTCTTTCCTAGAGATGTGAACACCTCTGATTGTTGCATGTAGATACTCTCATCAAGTTCTTCATGTAAGAATGTTATCTTGACATCCATTTGCTCAAGCTCCAAGTCATTCTTGGCTACCACTCCAAATAAAAATGGATAGAACTATACTTTACAGCTGGTGAGAACATGTCTGCAAAGTCAACACCTGGAGTCTGACTGTAGCCCATTGCTACCAATCTAGCCTTGTATCTAACATCTTCAATCCCTAATGTGTCTTCCTTTCTTTTAAACACCCATTTGCAATGAACAACCTTTTTACCTCTAAGTAATTTCACCAAGTCCCAAGTATTATTTTTGCTCAATAACTCCATTTCCTCTTACATAGCAATTATCAATCTGCTAGAATCACTGCAACTGACTACCTCTAAATATGTAGCAAGCTCCTCAATGAAACCAATGTCTTCAGCCACACTCAATACATAAACTGCCAAATCTACTTCCCCATACTTCTGTGGAGGTCTAATATGTTTGCAAGATCTATCCTTAGCTATTGAATACTATGGTGCTGGTGGTGTAGGTAAACTAGGCAAGATATTAATGTTTATCAACCTCGAACTGGACTGTTTTGTAGTAGACTGTTTTGCAACCTCTGAACTAATTTCTAACTCCACGTGAGTCGAATGATCCTACTCGTCAATTTTATTAGAATCATCAAGAGGTGAACCCATGAACCATAGCAAGTTCATCAAATATCACTACTAACAATTACCTTTCTTGTCTCAGGACACCACAATTTTTACACATTCACACTTGATTTATACCCAAGAGAGATACACTTTCTAGACCTAGGCTCCAACTTTCCATTATCCACATGAGCATAAACTGGATACCCAAAAATCTTCAAATTAGAATAACAATAAGGTTTACCAGACTATACTTCTTATGGTGTCTTTTTATCAATGATAGCTAAGAATGAGCATTTAATCAGAAAATAAGTTGTGGTATCAGCTTCAGGCCAAAAATTATTAGACAACCAAGAATTTGAAAGCATACAATGAACTTTTTCCATCAAAGTTCTATTAATCTGTTCTGTCACACCATTCTGTTGAGGAGTTCCAAGTACTGTTAAATGCCTCAAGATGCCTTCAACCTGTAGAAGTTATTGAATTCATCTGAACAAAATTTCAACCCGTTATCTGTGCGTAGACGTTTCACCTGCTTTTCAGTCTGCTTTTCTACTAATATTTTTCACTTCCTGAAGGTCCCAAATAAACCATTCTTCTGCTTCAAA